TACTTAGTTCCTTGACCTAGACTATAAGCTCCTTGATAGTAGGGATTGTATCCATCTTATTCCCAAGATCCCAGCACCCAGTAATTCCTAGCTGAAGCAGGCACTCAATAAATATTTCTTGAATCAATGAATGATTTAAGGAAGGACAGCAGGAAGCAAGAGAAAGACGGGACCAATAACCAGGGGTGTGATAGCTTACTTAGTATTTCTTCAAATTTGCCTAAATTCTATTGACATTTCTTGCTCTTAATAGACTACTCTTGACCATTTCTTGCTTCTCAAAATGTGTGTCTGTGAATCTATATATTTTTGTATATTTTTGAAGCAAGTGTGACAGAATGGCTAAATTTGTATTTAATTAAAAAAAAACCCTAGAACAAATCCATATTAAGTCACTTTTGATTTAATCATTATTTATGTCATGAGTTACTTAATAAATGAAAGTCTACATTTCTACAATACAGGAATACTTTTAAGTCACATTAAACACTAATTACTTGTTTTGGCCCTTAATTGGTTGCTGAATTTTAACCATAAAATGTGTAAATCAGACACATAAACTTGAATATATGTGTATCGGGGGCCATGTTTTCTTACTTCCGCAAACGTTGTAATAACCTTTATTTAGTTTTTGCCCAGATTTCCTCTGACAGAGCATGGGTGTGACAAGTAACTGTGTGTTTTATGTCACATACAAGGATGCATCCAGGCTGAGCACAGTGGTGCATACCTATAATTTCAGCTGTTGTTTGGGAGGCAAGAGGATTGCAAGTTCCAGGCCAGCCTGGCCAACTTTGCAAGGCCCTATGTAAAATTTTAAAATGCCTGGGCATATGGCTCCATGTTCACTGTGTACAACCCTCAGAACTAAAAATGGTAATAAAAAAAATGGGTCCAGAAACAACCCACTGGGCAAGATGGGGAGTCAGCTTCGCCCGCAGGAAGGTGACAGCGCAGGGAGGGTATGCAGCTGCTGTTGCTGAAGGCTGTGCCCTGGCTCTGGGTCACCAGGGGCCACCAAGGCTTGGATGGGCATGAGGAGAGCAGAGTTCAGAAAGAAACTTGAAAAACCATTATATTAAAACAATTCAGGCTTTATTTATGCACTGCTAGTGTAGATCTGGTTCCCCAGAACGTCACCTTCGTCAATGAAGATTTGTGTTCAGACTATCAGGGAAATGTGCCAAGGAGAAGCCCAAAAGGAAGTGGGAAAACAGAGTGGGGTAAAAACCAAGTAGGGTGCACTTTGAGGGGGGTCCCACCCCGAACGTGCAGGTGCGCTGGGTCATTCCTTCCAGTCTGTCCCACCTGGAGGCAGAAAGCCGCTGGGCATTCACATTCCCAAGAGTCCTGAGTCCATCCTGGCTCCCGGTCATGCACTTCAGCTGTCAGGGTGGGGGAAAATTGTTTCCATTTGCTCAGGGGTCCTCTGAAGGGCTGGCAAGGAACAGCTGTTAAGAGTAAAGTACGAACAGAGCTGAGGAATAAGAAAGAACTGCAAAGACCCAGAAGGATTGGGTACAGTACATGCATCATCAGCAACAGTTCTCCTGGTTAATACTCTTTGAAGTTTAGACTTCCGTTTTATTAACTTCTGTGAAATAAAATCCTCTCTCTCTTTGATCCTCTGATAGTCAGCTCTGTAGGAGCTCCTTTTAAAATCTTTATTATATGTAGCTACTGTCACAGTTAATATTCTCAAATAAATATCCTCACCAGCTACTTTTTCTCAATAAAGGGCCCAATAATTAATAATGAATTATATACTCTGCTTTTCGTGTTACGCTGTAAAACTGCACGTCGGTCAATACCTTGTTAATAGTGAGCAATGGATTGTATTCCGTGCTGCGAACCCTGTGTGGAGCAGAAGGACCACATATTTTGCTGACTCCCTAAAAGGTTCTAAACCACGGGCCATCTCTTAGCTGTCTTAAATTCATTCTCCCTCCTAGATTTATTTAATCTAGTCAAACAATAATTCACAATGGAGGCGGTTCCCTAGACCCGCAGCCACATTAGCCTATGGTTGTCAGCAAGTGTGGTGCATGAAGAGGACTCTTTTACCCTTGAAAAATGCTTATCCTGTCTATCAGTATTAATGGAGGTCATTGTGCCCAGGAGACCTATTCCAAGGTGGAGATATGACCCTTCAGAATCTATTACCCTGTTATATTTAACACACTCTGTAGGAGGCTGGAAATTCAAGCTTGGTTTGGGAACTTCTCTAAAAAAACTCAGTGCCAAGAAGCGACTGGAGTTACTCTTAAAATAAAACCCAAAGGCTATACTTTCAGGGATCACTTATATAGTATGTTACTAGAGAAGTTTCTCTGATGCTGTAGAGTACTAAAATAAAATCCAAGATTTACTCTACTTTTCAGGGATCAGCTGTCTGCCTGCTTTGCACCTTTTCTTTCTGTTTTGTTTTGTTAAATTTTACCTTTCATTCAATAATTCTTTACTGAGTGCCTACTGTGGGCAAGTATGATGGTCAGAGCATAGTAGGGAACATGTATGGAAGTCTCTTTTAATGAAAGCCTTCATTCTTGACTTGGAGACAGAAATTAAACACACACACACACACACACACACACACACACACACACACACACACGAGTATTTACAGTCCATGGAAAGTACTATGAAGCCAATAAAGTGAAAAGAGGGAACAGAGTGAGTGATGAAACAGGTGAACGTGTGAGGTGTCTTTACAGAGGTGCCATATGAGAAAAAGCAAATCCTCTAGTGATTTGGAGGTGGAATTTTCTGGGTAGAGAGAATAATGAGTGTGGAGCTCTTGGTCCAGCAATGAGGCTGATGTGTACAGAAAAGCTGGCCAGTGTGTGCAGAAAAAAGGCAAAGGGTAGGGTGATCATGAAGTCTGAGAGGGTGACAGACACCTGTTCATCGAAGGCCTCAGAAGCCTCAGTGAAGAGACAGATCTTGGAGGATTTAGTAGCGGGTATTAAGTAAAGGGGTGACTTGATCTGTTTTACTTTTTAAAAGATAGCTGTCTCTTTGCTGTTGGTGGTGATATAAGGAGAGGCTGGGAAAATAAAGGCAGCAGGAGACTGCCTGGGGCTGCTTCATGCATTGGAGGGGGTGTAACAGGATTGACCTGGGAAGAGAGAGCGGCAAAATTCTTGCCTCCCCAAGGTAAACCCTTGAGCAGATTATTGAACTCTTTTTAGCTTCACTTTTATTGTCTAAAAGATGGTGATGATATTCATAAACCTAACACATCATGTTCTTTTGAGGATTTGATGCATTAATATTTACTCCATGGAGAACTCTTAGAATAATTTTGTGCAACTAATAATAAGTGCATGTTTACTATTTTCTATTGTTGTTATTGGGTGTAGAAGTGTGAAATCAAGCATGACATCTTGGTTGAGGACTGGGCAGTACAGCTTGTTATCTATGTACAGAGAGTGTTCTAGAGAACTTTCAGTATGTAAAAGCTCTTGATCTAACTTTGCCGCGGTTGACACATGGCAACCACAAGCCAGGATATCACTTACCCTTGTCTCGCTTAGCAAGTACTGACTGCCTCTCTTGGCAACTGCTAGTGAAGAGATGGAGTAGTGCTGCATGGTAGACTAAACCATTTCTAAAATTATTTTTAAGTAGAGAAGTTATCATTTTTTCTGCGGATGAACAAGGTAAAAATGACTGACTTGGAATGAGCGGACATGGTTCTCATAGTTTATGTGTTCCGTGACTGCAAAGTCTATGTGTTCTGTTGTGTGTGCTAACTGTAATGTATAAGCAAGTACAAAAGAAAGGAAGGGAAATGGCTTCTGTGGAACATTGTCTGATAAGATGGTAAGAGTGGTGCGAAGCAGCGTTGGAGGGAATGTAGCTCAGTGGCAGGGGGCTTGCCTATCATGCATGATGCTCTGGGCTTCATCCTCAGCATTCAAAGGAAAAAAAGGAGGAGGAGTGAAAAGAAAGGAAAAGGAAAAGAAGGCTTCAAATTGACAGTGTGAATTGTATCAAAGAGAGGACAGAAAGGACAGGCTCTAATAAAAGATATAGCAGACTTTTTTTACTGCTCACACCAAAAGATTAATGAGGATGCCATTTTTTAAAAAGTTCATGAATGCAGAAACCCATCCCATTAATTCAAAGAAGATACTTTATGGATATTTGGGCTTAGTGACTTCTGATGCTGTAGGATCTGGAACCCAGGCTTGAATTCTGCCTGCATTGATGAATAATTATAAGCATATGATTTGGGGGAAACCACCAACTTCTATAAATTATAGCATCTTTGTCAAAACATTCCACCACGCAATGTTATTTGAAGAATCAACAAAGGCAATATAAGAAAAGAAATCCACTCTTTCCTATTGTGGGTATAACTACCATTAACCATCCAACTCTGAGAAGTCAGGACTCACTTGGACCCTAGTCATCATGCTTTTATGTAAATGACTCTTTCCCTTAAGGTGGGTGTCAACCCCGGGAGAATCTGGGAGTTCTTGTTCCACAGTTCAGGCAGTGAAGTGTGAGTCTTTTGACAATTCATGTAAATTGCACTATTCACTTTAATATCCTTCAAATGGGTCTCCTCATTATTCTTCAAATAGGTCTCTTCCTTCCAGTGGCCCTTTTGCAGAAGAATTGTACATATATTTTCAATTTCCTCAGAAAAATACCTGGTTATGCATATGAATTTGGGTCAGATGTGTTAAGTTACAATTAGCACCATCGTCTTTCCCAGTTGTGGCTATTCCTATTTTCCTTTAGCCATTGTGGGCATTAGTGGAAAGGAATAGGCTTTCATGTTCTTGGTTGGCATGCATCGTAGATTTTGACATCTTTCTGAAATGCACAGAAATTTTCCTGCTTTCTTCACTCTGCAGATAACTGTCAGCATATCATTCCATTCGAGTGAGGGCACCATGCTCTCAGTGGGTATTTCAGGAAGACATAACAAAGTGTCCTTCAGTTGTGCTCATCAGTGTCGCTTTTCTCTCCCCTCCCTTTGTCTCTAGGTAAGTGTGAGATCGGCTGGGCCTACTACTGCACAGGAGCAGGTGCTGCTGCGGCCATGCTGCTGTGCACATGGCTGGCTTGCTTCTCGGGCAAGAAACAGAAGCACTACCCATACTGAGATGGAGCCACTAGCAACAAACAGAGGAGAAGACAGGCCACACGGGCTTGAAGGGGCCAACGCATCCCGCTACTTTCAAAAGGTGGAATAGTGGTTCTAATCCAATACAATGCTAAGGGAATGAAACCCGGTGGAATCATGAGCAATATATAGGAAGGAAAAGTTGCAGAAAATTTGTGGGAAAAAATGGAGCAAATGGAATGATGGAGACAAATGGACCAAAGGTTAAAAATATTGCAGAGTGTTGGGTAATTCTATTCCACAAGTTATTGTTCATGTATATCACACACACATACACAAAGCAAATCTATATATGCAAACAAGGATTTTGTCTTTGTTATGTTTTGTTTTTTAAAGGTGAAGACTTGGGAGACTCCAAAGGGCTAGTAGAAATGATCTTAAGTGGGAAGCGGGGTACCCTGCAGATGTTCCCTGTAGGTGACAACACACCAGAAAGCACACAAATACATGCACACAAGCTCATCCATACACACCCTCCTGCCCCACACACCTGGATCGTCACATGGACTACAGTGGACGTTTAGCAGTGTATTACTCCTCAGTTTTTTAAATATGGATTGAAAATATAGTATTATCACTTTATAAAGCAGCCATTAAACCTAATAAATGGACCAATAAACCACTCTATCAGTATTTTGTGTATCCTGGATAAACTTCATACGCTTGTCATACTTTCAGTGTTTATACGGATGCTTAGAGTTAAGCCTTCATATTTCATTATTATTCAAAGATACGCAGTCTTTCTTGGAGTGGCTTCTGCTATGACATTCTTATGAACGAAAAGGGCAACTTTCTGTCCACTGGAGGAGAGGATTCAACTGAAGATATGAGAAAAAGGAGAGTCATTTTCCAGTTATCAGATCTTGGTTTCTTTTGTCCATTATTGTAATGTGCTGTACCACATTTATTTCAATATTCATTTTGTAAGAATTATAAAGTGCTATTTTGTTTGTATTTGAAAAGCGCTGTGAATAAATTCTCTCTTCGATCAATAGTGCAATGAGTCAGAGCGTGTTAATTCAGTTACCAGAGGTTTTTTCCCCTTTAATTTCTTAAATACAGCCTTTCAAATATGACAGTACTAATAATCTTCCTTTTCTCTTTAAGGGCTTCTCATTAATTCACTCAGTAATTACCCAATCAGATATTGTTCTAGGCATACAGTGCATTAAAGGTAAGACATAGTTTTTTCTTTCAGCTTAAATTCTTTGTAGCTAGAATTTTAACTTTTTTTCATTGGATTTTGATCATGACCCAATTCTTACATGAGAATTTCAGGCCTGTTTTGTATTAAGTTTGAGCATATAGGCAATATTCAGGCATGATTTAGGGCAGTAAGAATCAGATCACAATTTAGGAAGTGTCTGAGATGAAGATCTCCAGGAGAGTCGCAGGGTTGTCACATGCTGTCAGTGATTTGCCACTCCTCCACCTTCTTTGAGATGTCAGAGGCCACTTTACACTACTATTATTTAGGGATCATGGCCTTTTAAGAAAGAGGATCTCACACTCCTACCCCTGGAAGAAAGGTGTGGATTTTTCACGACCCCTCACCCACAGCAATTAGCTCTTTCAGGAGCAAAAATTGCATACCAGATAATGAATGTATTCTTCACTTAAGCAAGTCTGAGTTATTATAGAAAACCCTAAAAATTCAATTTGAATTAGTTGTTGAATTACATACTTTTCAGATCTGGAAATTAAACATTTCAGTTCCTTATACATGAAACTGTGTTTTCTACACAATCTACATATATTCACTGATTTAACTTGAATATCTGAATATCACACTTGCTTCCAGTCTTTTAATCTTTCCAGAGTGAGGTCCATGCTGCTTTAAGAAGAACAGTACAAAAATGTGGCCAGTAAAATTCTGGATTTTCTGAGGCTTTGTGGGTATGGAGAGAGTCATTCTGCTCTCACATGCTTAATCCTCAGTGTGCTGAATGTCATTTGATTGTGTCTCATTGTCTGCTGAGAAAAGGCCTCTCCACTGTGGTTTCCTGCAGAGAAGGAAGATTGCACTTTGCTTCCTCAATTAGCCTATCATTTTCATGAATTGCTGATGCTCTTCAGATCTTTTAAACTTCACCTTTCTGTCAGAATAGTAGTATGAATTCTTAGCCATTATCAAGTTGGACTTACATATGGAATCCATTATGGTCTAATACCTTGGGCAGATACAATGGTAGTACTGTCATTTTCATGACCATGTGATTGGACATCAGTGAGACTGCCTAGAATAAAAAACTGACAACTCTTACATGATACAGCAAATGACAAACCCTTTCATTTTGAGCCCTAGCTAGGCATGTTTTCATCTGTTTTTTTTTTTTTTTTTTAACATGCCCCAGGATTTCATGAGGAGCATCTAATTTAACAATTATATATATTATTTTTCAAATGAAAATCTAGTTTCTGAAATAATAGCAATAACAATCTAAAAGTATATACAAATAATCCTCAACTTAGGATGGGCTTACATTTAATGAATCATTGATAAATTAAAAATATTGTAAATCAGAAATGTATTTAACTCACCAAATACACCAAACATTATAACTTAGCCACACAGCGTGTTACAGAATAGCAGTTGTTTACCACAGTGGTTGCAAGGCTGACTGGAAACTAGAGCTAACCACCTCTGCCTGGCCTCCTAAGAGAACAGTATACATATTCCTATCCTGCGGGAGAGGGTAGCAGAATGAAAAATACAGTTTCTATTGAACGTATGTTGGTTTTTAACCATTGTAAAGCTGAAAAATCATTTGTCAAACTCTAAAATTAAAGTTATCATTAGATTCTTATTTATGCCTATTTCAGAGGGGAGAGAAAGCTCCAAGTTCACAATTTGAAAAAGGCTTTCATGGCTTGTACATGTCAGGGAGGTAAGTGGGAAGTTGACCTTGTTTTTAGGAAGAAAAAATGACACTCAAGTTAACTGATGACATTTAGTTGACTTCCAGTTTTCAGAAAGCCATTTATGTACTTGAGTATAAGTGCTGGGTAACAAGCATAAAAATGGAGCAGGAACACAAGTAATTACCATATATATAATTATTCATATACGAATTGACTCTCAAAGAGGATGTTTCTTACAAGTAAAGAATCTTGCAGGACAAATTAAAAGGATGTAAAGAAAGCTGATAAAATACAACCTTCTGCTCTTCAAAAGCCAACACTAAGAAAAAAGGAAACCAAAGATTAGGAAAAGTTTCATGTTTGACAAAGGGAAGCAGGAAGAGACAACCGATTCTGTATTTTTATTAATAACAGAAACAAAATCCTTCTGAAAGCTATTTTTGCAATCCTTTGTGACTGGAGTAAATTTGTCAGGACAGCCAGTGTTCATGTGCTCTTCTTTGACTCAGGCTTTCTCTCTCAGAGTGGACCATCTCCACACAGTCTTCAGGAGTGAAGACCACTAGATTGTTACAGCACATTCCAGCAAGCGCACACGACCTGGAAGAACTCACCTGCAACCTTGAGAATAATTTGGAGGCTGAGGGTACTGTGTTGAGTTAGTTCCCCCAAGCATGGCAAGGGAGTCCCATGAACCAGGCCATAGCACCAGCACATACATGTGAGGGCCAACAAGAAAATAACAAATTTGGTCCTGAAAGAATTCACCTGTTGTGGAAAGAAGACAGTATCTCAAATCCAGATTGTCTTCCCCCACCCTGGAGTACTGGGCACTGAACCGAAGGCAGTTTCATAGATCTACATCCCCAGCCCTTTTTCATATTTTACTTTGAGACAAGGTCTCCCCAGGTCACTTGAGTTAAAGTAAATATTTATATCTTAAAATAATAGATGTTTGGCAATAAGGAAAATGAGATCATTTGTAATATGAACAGAACAAGGAGAGAGCTTAGTACTGTGAGGCCTTTTGTGGCCACACAAGCTAAATTCTTTCTACCAGCACTTGGATCTGGAAATTCTTCTGCTTACCTACACTTTGACAAGTTTCAGAGTTGCTATTTCTTTGGCTGTGGGGAGGAAATGTTACCTGCAGTATTTGGAGGCTTACGCTGTACCATCTATATTTGATCACCTGAGATATTCAGTTTGACTTACCCAGAAAATCGCTTATGGTTTCTCATATTCTTGTGTTTTTCTTTTAATTACTTATTGCTTTAAGAGATGCTCACTGGTCATTTATTATGTATCAGATACTATGACAGGACCTGTCATTGACATAATTTAGCTGTTATGGTGGGCCTTAAATTTTCCTACTCATTTTAATCCTTTGAAATAAATACTCTTTGTTACAATTCCTTAAACATGTATTAGATCACAGTGCCAATAATAATAATTTTTAAATGAATGTTTAACTTTAACGCATATAAAAATAAGCTTTTACAGGAAAGGCTTTTTATAAAAGGCTGTTTTTCTGCACTTACCTGGAATGAATTAGAATTTGCTGGAGGCAAGTTATTATATGATTAGTCTCCAGGCCATTTTACCTGCAAACTCCTAGTCTTTAAGGAAACTTCAAGACTAAGGATATGAGGTGTGATCAAAATATACAGTGAGTGTTTGAATTTTTAAAGTCTATTACTGAAAAAGACACATTGCCATGAATCCCTGTCAAAATATTCCCCCTCACTTCTAACACACTCATCTCATCATTCTTGCCACTTCTGGAAGTCCTCTTTTGTGAGTGTCTTTATAAGGTGTGATACAAAATCTGATGAATACTGCTGCTGAATGGAAAGGCAGACTCCTAAAAACATTGTGGTGTAGCCTCATCCATCTTATTCATTGGTTGTGGCACCCTGCACCTTCTGGCCCTTCCCCAAAGTCAAAATGAGCAGGGAGGGCAAACGTTTTGAATCAGTGAGGACGTGCAGGTAGCTGTAGAGCACAACTAAAGACACTCATTAAAAGAAGACCTCCAGAAGTACTTCAGAAAGGGGCAAAATAGGATAAGTGTGTTTGGAATGAGAGGAGTGGGGTTTCTTTTTGGAGGCGATGCTAATGGCAATGTGTTTTTTATTCTAATAATTTTTTAATTTAAGCATTCACAGTATTACCTCATAGGTTAGAGTTAGTTATCAGTAATGAATTTAGGTTCTGTGGTTTGGCTAAATATTGCATATATTAATGAGGGCCTCATTGTTAACTTCATTATGTACTAGTTGTGTGAACTTGGGTAATTTTATCTTAGTTCCTTCATTTTTAGATTCTGCGCAATAACCTTTTTTTCTTACTAAAGTTTTATGAGAGTAAAACAAGATAATCTATAAAGATATGTTTGTAGTTCTTAGCATTTGGTAAGCATATGATACTTGTTAATTTTTTTTATCATGATTAATTTTTATTTTTTCACTCTGGAACCCAAAAGGAGAGTATGTGTACTCTAAGTATGTGTAAAAGTACCAAAAAGAGTAAAAGAACTCTAAATTGTACAAAGCATCTAAAAAGATTTGCTACAAAAAAGTATCAATACTTGATCATAAAAGCTGATGCAAAAGATCATTTTTCACTGTATCTTATCCCTGTCTTCAATTCTTCCAAAGACCTATGGCTTATCCTTTTCGTGGAAGCTAAGGAAATGGCTCTTGCCCATTTAGTTTATTTTTTCTCTTATCTACATTGCTTTGTCCTTTGAAGTATTCTAAGATTGAGACTATCTTCTTCCAAAAAAACAGATCTCTGGTCTTCACTTCTCATCAGTTTATTTTTCTGTGATATTTATCTCACATTGAATCACCCTGAAACACATAGCTGTGATTTTGCTGTTGCAGCTGCCTGAGATCTGATACGGAGCTTTCCAGGCCTTTGTCTGTGTTATCCTTTACACGGCTTCCTCCATGTCTGTCCCTCGTCACAGATGGGAATTTTAAATTCTTTTAACAAAAAGAATCATTTCAGTTTGTACATGTGCAAAATGATATGGACAGAGTTTTCATTGAGGCATTTTCAATAATAGCAAAGAGTCTGGAAACAAATTACCATAAATAAGGAATTCCTTAAGCAAATTATGGTATA